CCTTATTTTAAAGGAAGTAGTCTTGTGAATTAAGAGTGTGCCTCTTTATGAAAAACATTACCCTTTCTTTTGGTCTATTCTGAGGTCATATTAAATCATCGTCACGGAATAATACAAAATACTTCATTTGAGTTAGTAATACTTTTACCTTTCACCGTGATCAATAAGTCAATAAGAAGACTTTACATTATTCATAAACGTTTACATATTTTTGTGAACACGAAACAGTTAATAAAGTAGTTGTTTAAGTGTAAAAACAAAAATATAGTAGAATCATCGCTGTGAACAAAAATTAAACTTTTACGTGAATGAGGAATTAGGCGAAACTTTTAAGAACTTTTACGATTAAGTCTTTTTGTGTTTCGCATATACATGTATTACTTTTTCAATTGTGTATAAGAGATGTATTAGGCTAATTGAAAGGCTAAGGTGTAAATTTTCTGCATTGCTGCATGTTATCATACAGAATGCTCAGTATGTATTTCTATTATTAGCTTAGCATTATAAAAATTATAACGGGTGATTTAATGTAAATGAGGATCAGAAATCCTCGTGTTTGCAACAAAGCTGATAATTTATTCGCTACTGTTTTATTACAAAGGTTAGCTGGAAATTCAAATAATATCAATACAAAAATTAATTCATTCTCGATCAAACCCGACAATTCTCTTCCTATTTAAGATGGTCACTTCATATAGAATACAGAAGTGGTACATGTGCGTACATCTTAATTGTTCAAACATCTGTTTCGACACTTTCTTATTTATACCGTGGAAACAATTATTAGAAGCACTTGAATAGGCAGATCAAATGAGAAATGAAAGTTAAGTACTCATTTGAGTGATTGGGGTTCACAGATATTTATAACGTTCCCCGCAATTCTCAATTCTTTTTACCATAAATGTTTTATGTAATCCAAGGTAAACGTTCCTGCAGAAACAACGTCGAAGAACCTGCACACGCCGCAATGTCGCTATTGAAAGGCGAAGATTCCCGTATACTTGCATGTGAAAACGTATTCCAGTACCGTATTCCTTTACCCATATGATCACGTGGAAACGTATTCCAGTACCGTATTCCTTTACCCATATGATGGAAACGTATTCCCATACCATTGCACGTGGAAACGTATTCCCGTACCGTATGCTTTGAGTACTCTATATTAGCCTACATAACAAATATAGAAAACATAAAGTTTTTTGACAGACTCCATAAAGAAAATTCACGATTCCTAATTGATATGGTTGAAGAAAACAATGCGTTGCTAAATTATACATTTGTTTTTGGATGAAAGTGATTAAAAATATATGTTAACATAGGTATATAAAAGAATGGAAAGGAGCAAGTACCAATGTTATAGAGTTTGAAAATATTTAGCTTCAATTGTCAAATTATTCATAAACATTACCCTTAGCTGGATAATGTGAAGCACGGAAAAAGCGGGTTATTGCGTTACTCTAACCAGTGTCGTCTGCTAGCGGAGAAAATTGATATAGAATACCAGATAAACAGATATTTGTTAATACCCCCGTCACACCAGACTTGGGACCTAACTGCCTTCCCGCCGACCTAGGACGTGTAAAACGCAATGTACGCCATAGGGTCAAGTTGAGAACGTCTTAAAATAGAGAAAATAAGAATCCCCAAAGAAAGCCCAACACGGCATAATTGAAATGTTGCTGGCTCGGTTTGATTGGGCCTGTTCATGGACGGTATTGTTAAGTGCAAACTACCGTCCACGTATATTAAGTCGCCGTAAGGATTCCATCAACACCTCAGGACTGAGAGTCATTTTGAACATGTATAAAATAAACGCCGAGGATCGGAGTTCTCAACGCGTCTTGGGCTTAACGCCGCAATACTAGTAGTCGTAAAACACCTCATGCACGTACGTACTGTGCATGCCACAAAGTCGTCGTATAAATGCATAAAATGCAATTATTTCACGAAAAATTAGTGCAAGGTATGGAATGAGATAAATGTAGCGTTATACTCCAACTTGAAGTTGATCAACAATGAAGTTTAACATACATAAACCGTGTAGTATATGTTACTTGTATCATAAGAGAATATGCACTGTGTGTATAAAAATATGCATACTCGTATTTGAATAATGTTTCTTATCAAACACAAATGCTTACACTTTATAAGTAAACACCTACATATTATGCAAGCTGATAATTTTAATCAAGTATATAGTAAGTGTTCAAAGGCAAATTGAAATGGTAATGAGTGATAACTGAAAAGATGAAAAAAGTAGTACCCCGGTACATTGCAGAATGTCTATATCACAGTTAATCAAACGTTACATGACAGAGGCGGTCATGAACCGTTCCAAATCACGTTTATAAATATCCTATAAATATTGGTTTTATTGTCTTTCAGGACTTTAAGAAGTACCATTTCATCAGACGACCAAGCTCTCACAATTTTCTTGGAGATACCCATTTGTCTGGCGTTAAAAAAGTAACTCAGATCTATGTTGGTGAGGTCCTCATTGTCATTCCAGAATGTCCACTAGATTTCAGCATTCCCCTCTTCATCGTCGGTATTTTCACCTATGTTTTCGACGAGATCTGGTATTTTCACGTTGTAACGCCTACTTTACTGCTCAGCAGCATCCGTCTAAAACTCCAGGATGTCAACACGTTACATAAGGTAGTTAATTTTTGAGCGCAGAACTTCATTCTGAGCTTTGAGTGAGCTTATCTGAGTTTGCATTCCCTCTTGTAGTTATTTATGAACTAGAAAACTGATATCTATGCTTGATCATTATCTGTCCCTGATGTCTTCATATAATATTTTATTGTATTTTAGCAATAGTACTTCACAGATTTATAGCTAACTACTGACAACTATTAGCATTCATTTCACAAAATTTTGAGTATGTTTGGTGATGAAAACATAAAATTGACTTTCAAATCTTATCTGCAGGCTCGGATTTTAAACGCCTTCACGTGCTTCTGCAGATGTTAATGCACCTAAAAAGGGTGAATAAACCCTCTTTTACACATAAAGTTTCTCGCAGACATGTTTGATGAAATAAAATACCTGATTTGTCAGACACAATGGTTTCAAATTGCACACACCGTGTTCAATGTGTCCCATTATAGACTACTTGCTATTGCTAAACACCGAGTAACATTCCATTAAGACCCGGTTACACCGTTCGAACTTTGTTGGAGCATTCCTTTAACGGTAGGCAGAGGGGACCGAATTTTGACAACGAATAAAATGAGAAAAAAAAATCGAAAACACGGGCGTTGCCTTAGCTGTGCACCGCTGAAGCCGGCATTGCTATAGTGTTGGCTTAACGGTAGCAAGCGGTAGTAAGCGTTGGTTTATGGTGACGCGAGCGTTGATAGAGCGGAGTTCTGCGCATGCGGGCGTTGACTCGGCGGGGGTTTAAAGTTGGTTAAGCGGTTTATGACTACGGAGCTGAACGGATCGTTTTGATAAAAGTTCTGAAAGATTTTTGATAGAAGTCGATAGTTGAAGTTCATAATGCCACGTGGACACAACAAGAGGAAGGCTGGAGAAGGAAAGGCAGCACACTGATGGTGTTTTGGGGAACCCTTCATGCGTATTGCATTTTTCTGTAGGTGTTACCAGAGACCCGGTGCCGTAGGGTGATTGCCACTTTGAAACAAGGTTCCAGGCTGGCTCGGTAATTGGTGTCTTGCTTGGTCAATCTAGGGGTCAGCCTCTGTACAACTTCATCAAACTTCATTTCTCAGTATCTACTGTCTGACTCGTCTCCCTTTGTCAACAGCTTGTTGCAATCTGTGGGGGTTCTGATTCTGCTGCTGGACTAGTGCACCAATCATAGCAAGTCTCTCAGCATACATGGTAGTACAGCTTTACTGTAACGAGGATATTCGATGTAAATGAGGTCTGCACTCCAAGGCAACTCGATTCCAATTGGGCTCCTGTTCCACTTCTCTCCGTATTTATAGTCAAATTCTGGTTCCGCTCCGACACCTCCATACTAATGCCAAACCCGTCCCGCTCGTAAAACGCTTCCAACCGCTCCACCAAAGTTTGTGCAACGTTAAATCAATGTACGGCCAAAGTTGGCGAAGTGGCGGTGGTCCAGCGGTTAAGATTTCTCCGTTTGCCTGGAGGACCCAGACGTCAACGAACTTTCGTCTAGCGGTGTCAAACTTTGACTGGGCGTTGTTGGAGCGGCGATGAACAACTTTGCCGGAGCGGAAAATTGCCCGTTCCTTACCACTCGCAATATTTTGTGCAGCTCAAAACTTTCGAGGCGGTAGGAGGGACCATGAGCGGTGACCGAGCGTATACGGCGTTGTCTTTACGGGGGCCAACTTCTGGTGAAAGGTAACGAGCGGTGATGGAATTTTTTCACCGCTCCAGCAAACGTTCCAGCAAAGTTCTTTGCGGTGTGACCGGGCCTTAACAACATTTTAAAAAATTGAAAATAACTTGCATAAAGTTGGCACTTATAGTGAAATTATGCTCATTCAAGTGCAGGTAAAAGTCAAACTAATTACATACACGTATTCCGCAAAATTTGCTTCAAATTTGGATTTTTTTTCACATCAATAACCGATGTGACCCCAGAAAAATTCTATAAATATCCTTGTGAAAGTATTGGTAATTAAGTGTTGGGCAGTATTCTTAGAATTTAGTCAGTTTTTGATTGCTATCAACTGCTGATCAATAACAATTATATTAGTTAATATTTTGAAATTGATTGTTTCATACATTTAACATTTGCGGTGTTCTTACTGTTTTGTTAATTGTTTATATTAAAACACGTTTTTAAATGAATAAGAAAATAAGAAGAAAAAGGATTTAACTCGTATCTGCCAATGTCAGGTTATCTTCGCAGTTATGTTCAATAAGATAGATGTCACATTTTTTAGACATCATGTTTTTCCACGCTGATAGCACACATTGAGTTCAATACGACCCTTCTAGATTAATTCACTTATTTTTTTATACATTTTTTACATATTATAAATCATATCACTGTATATTATACACCAAGTAAATAATTTATGACAAACATCGTGGAACAATAATCATATTACAGTTATAATAAAAATGGGTGATTATCTGAAAATAATTTTTTTAACCTCACTTGCATATTTGAAAAAAAAGTATTCTCAGTATTTGACAAGTTGTATTCCAATAAATTGACAAATTCCAACTGTTACTGTCTATTTCTAGTCCAGTGTAACAAAATCTGACATAGTTTTAAAAAATCAAAACAATCAGGACCTGACTTATGAGTTTCAAATTAATAATTAAAAATACATATAACAGAGTTGTTTTTTTTATCACATATTTGATAAATGTCAATCTTTTTTAATAACTGAAGCCAATAGCAGTGCCCCTATACCCAGTCCAGTGAGTATCGTACTTGCTACTGCAGAAGATGACGACGTATTATACCATGTACCGCCCGGGTCACCTCTAACTTCAATGTCGTCACCGTCACATTTTGACGTTAGACGAAAATAAGGAACTCTTGTTGTCTGCACGACCGGAATTTTATCACATTTACCAAGTATTTCCAAATGACGAAATACCCAGAGTCGTCTATTATCTAACGTGATCCAGCGTCCGTTGTGTTTTGCGACCGTGATAGAATCGATATCATATACTGAAAGCCTGTTTTAAAAAGAGGAAATTAAGTTATTGTTTGTTTTTCTATGTTAAGTTAACCTGTTTTGATGAAATGCCAATTCGTATGTGTGTAATATTTTCCTTCTTACTGTTAAATATTGTATTGTGACTTTTCCCTCACCATATAGCTGTATTGCTATACGTACAACGCATATAATGACAGGAAGCTATCCACTTGCATGTTATAGAAAGCCACGGTTTCTAAAAAAACATTTAGTCTGTTATAACGACTTAAATTCTATATATACTGATTTTAGTAACAAGTTGAGTTGTGTTTCATGAAGTTTTTTTTGTGGAAAAGGGGTCAGTAATTCAGATGTCCGCCTGTGTCTGAGATAATGCACGAAGGGGCAACTGAATTGTTAAGTTATCTTTACAAAAATAATTCAACAAATATACACTGGTATAAAAGATATATAAGTGTATTAAGCTTTATATATATTGCCTGCAGTTTACAAATTTGGTTCTAATTTTGAAAAGAAGAATTCCAAAATATATCTATGAAAGAAGTATGTTGATATGGTTTCCTTGTGATCGAATGATGTACAAACTCAATGCTTAAAGGTTAGACTCCTACTTAAAATATCAACATTATATTTTGTCCCGGAACATTTGATATGTTCTGTTTAGGTACATTACTGTTTTAAATAACAGATGCAACTGTTTTGAAAATCGACCATAAAGTTATGGAAACAACATCATTTTACCGTTTTTACATTTTGTAAAAATAATAAGATATACCTTAATACTCTTTAATCGTAAAGAATACCTACCTCCCTTCGCATAAATCATCCAAAGTTTCGCCTATTGGTATATAGGGAGAAGAAAAATGATTGCTTATACTACTCTGAGAATAGTATATATCCGAGGGTCGCAACATTAGAGACATCTTTACTATACTAGACGCGTTAGGATACAATTATACCTGACTTAAGATTTATAAATGCTATCTCTTCAAAGTTAAGTTTCTTTTCCGATAACGCAGTACTTAAGATAAGAGCAATTTTCTGAAATTCAAACTGCAAACGAAGGTAGTTAAAATTGTAGTGATGAAGATTAACATAATATAATTCATTTTTCAGAAAATGGTAAGCATGTTACATGTAGTATACATGTAATTGGACATTTTTTTGTATATATGTTTATGTGTTTCATTTATTACGTTTCAGTGGATATATTGACATTTTCCTATTAACAAACAATATTAAGTTTGTATTTAGTGTAATAAAAAATAAAAAAGATGTCCCCATATTTCTAACTATGTCTCGAACACCACTCCCTTATCTTTACTAATAATAAAATGTATGAGTCACCGCAAAATGAGTTTCATCCAACCCCAAGCCAGTAGTTAGGGAAGTCAATCAAGGATTTAACATTTTTTTTTATTCTAAAACTTTGTTCATGAATTTGATTTCATTTTTATTAAAAAGATTCCGCTCGGGTCTAAAAGCCTAAAACATAAAATTTGAAATACATAGATAAAACCGGGACACTTACGACTGAACAGATAATGAAGAAAAACACTCATAATTAGTTTGAAAATCAATATAAATTTAGTACGTTAGATAGTAAATGTACGTTTCTTAGCTCCCAATTGAAACCCCATCTCAGATAGACCGTTACAATTATTCCTTCTTTCAAAGGACGATATTGTCTCATTGCCGACACTCTTCGGATTGCATATGACTGTAAACAATGCTTAGCATATATCACAGTAACATTTATATGACTGATCGTTTTTACTCTTAATGTCGGTATACAAATATAGATGGGATTGAAGTTATCATCGCGATGAAAATGAATGTAGGTTTTATTCTGAGTCAGTTAGAAAATTTAGCTGATCCCCTTAATCAATGAAAAATTGCTTAAAATGCTCTAACTATTACCTAATAGTTTGGATTGATGCGGTATCAGTGTACGTCCTGATAGAGTTTGTCAGAAAAGAAAGAAAGAATGAAAGAAAGGTAGATAGGAAAATAGATTAAAAATGCCTTTTTTTGGTAAATGATGATAGTTATTACACTCTTCCAAGTTAGTTTGAGATGCGAATGACAAAACCAACGTAATGCGCATCCGCGCAGTCTGATCGGGATCCATGCTGTTCGCTTACAAACCCTATTACAAGTAGAGAACTGATAGCGAACAGCATGGATCCTGATCAGACTGCGCGGATGCGCAGGCTGGTCTGGACCCATGCTGGTTGCAAACCCCACTATGTTGGTTTTGTCATGACGCGGCTCATATTATACCTATATTATACATATAGTTTACACTAAGTCAAGTACCGGTAATAGTGTTATTGATAACGCAATAATGTCGTATGGGTTATTTCCCATTATAAGTTATTTTATTGTACACGATATGTTTCATTTTGCTGCAATGATCCGATAGCGTAATAGCTTAACTTATTAAATTGTTATTTTTGAAACATGAAAATATTATCGGACCTGTCATTTTCAAGAAATTAAAAAACGGAGAAAAAAACCCGGAATATTACAGTGTTCCGTTAGTATCGCGAAACGTGAAAACAGACGAAGACGAAAACGAGAAAACACGAACGGACGAAAACGCGAAAGTACGATAACGAAAACACGAGTAGTCGATACTTACTGCGTTTTCGTCATCGTGTCTTCGCGTTTCCGTCTTCGTCCCTTCGTGTTTTCGCGGTTTAGTTTTTTCCGTGTTTTCGCCTTCCGGTACATGTCAGTATAATTATTTAGAGGTACACTGATTAGTCCATACTTACTCTCTGTCTACAACATTTATTGACAAATAATTTCTATCACCATGATGGGGTTCAGACATATCATGTGTTTAATATTTCATAATTATTTTTCTTCTTATTTTTAATTAATTTTTATGATAAAGATTTAAAAACATTTATTTTTGAAGTTTTAGTTTATATTATTTGTGTCCTCACAAATGCCTTAGCAAACTGTTTTAAACAAAATCGCCATTATTTTCAATGCCACCGCGTCGGTAATAAGGGAAGGTCCGTGTTTTCTTTTCTTTTGTTGTTGTTTTTTTTTTTAATTCAAGATAGTGTTTTGGAATATTGGATAACATCGAACTGTACTTCCTTATGTATAGTTTGTCGATATCTAAGAAATTTTAAGTACCTGTAATACAAAAATATTTTAAAAAAATAATGTATCGATTTCTAAACCTTTTAAAATATACCTTAGTTTGTAAAATATTTATACTTGAGACCATTTGTTGTTTGGACTATGATAAAAATATATGTATAAAAATACATTACTAGATAGCCGGAGAGAAGAGAAGATGAACTAATAAGCAGAATCAAAGAATATCAAATTTCATTTTATCATCATAAATATATGTCCATAACTATACATGTCTAAAGATGTTGAACGCGGAATAAAATTACTGTTTATTGTACAAACGAGGCACATAGACACCAAATATCACAAAAATGTAGGAAGCTTTGATACTTATCTAGACTGTTAAAAAAGTATTTATAGAAAACATATATAAATTTCGGGATTATTTCTTTATATGCATTAAATCATGGATGGCTAATTATTTTATAGTGCCAGTGGTCGACCGGTTTAAGTCGTTGGCTTTTATACACACTTGCTCCTCATCACTCTGCCAGTTGATTCTTTCACGTGTGGCAGTTATCCAGAGGACTTTCGGAATGTCGTTGGTTCTACTCAAGTATCCGCCTTCACCTGAAACGAAGGGACACCTAAAGTCTTTCTTTAGCTAGAAAAGTCACCATTATGACAGTGACTGAAATACGCGGAGGTACATAAATGCATATTAACTATAGTTAGAATTTGTATGTTTTGGAATCAGTATACGGTGTCTATAATAATAATAATAATAATAATAATAATAATTATGATTATAATAATAATGATAATGATAATAATAATAATAATAATAATAACAATAATAATTATAATAATAATAATGATTATAATAATAATAATAACAATAATAATTAATAATAATAATAATTATGATTATAATAATGATAATAATGATAATAATAATAATAATAAATGAATTTGAGCTGAAAAAGTATTAATAGGTCAAGGTCGGGCGAGCTAGACATAAATAAATAAAGTAAGCCAGCTTATTTCAAATCCGTTCTTAAACTAGCATTTCACACTAGGTTAGGACTTATGCCAGTGGCAAGATCAAGGTAATATAATCTTAAAGAAAAACTGCATATTTTGAAACAACAACCATAGCTTCCAGTTATTCAAAACAATTTGAGATAAATATCCTTGGGTTAGTCGGTTTGTGTGTGTGTGTGTGTGTGCGTGCGTGCGTGCGTGCGCGTGTGTGTGCGTGCGTGCGTGCGTGCGTGTGTGTGGTGGGGGGGTCATTTACGCTACAGACAAAGTCCGTCTTCATAGTAAATGTGTTCCTTCATCTTTAGAACAATGGCAAGAGTCTATGAAACTTCAGTCCTTTATACTTGTTTTCATTATGGCAAAACAGTTTTGCGGCTCTATTATCGCAATACAAATATTTCATATTTACAACATTAGACGCCGTAGTTGCATATTCAATAATTGTGCAGGGAATCTGACACCACATGTGTTATTTATCCCCCTTGTTTCGTAATACATTAACAATGCACGTCACACAATTTTTCTCTTCTCAAAATCCATAAATATTGATCGGTATATTTAAGGGTTACATAAATTACCATTTTAATAAGCTATATCATGATATTTAAACGTCCCGGTTCAATGAACAAACTTTGCCAATCTGTTTGACACTTGCCGCCTGACCAATCCAGTTATTTAAAGGAAGTGTACAATTCAAATTGTGTAATATAATGCAATACAGGGGTAATAAAATTTTATCTTTAACACCCTGCTGTTTCAATTTAAATTACTGATGGAAATGTCGTCTAATGATACCTTAAGGTGACAACAGACACTTTCCGTGGTACTCACATAAATGTAATTTAAACCAAGTTATTTTAGTAATAATTGTTATTTATTTAATCTTTATGCATTAAATGTCGCTGATCAGCATAAAAAATAACATATTTGAAAAAAATGCTTTTGTAAATGATTGATTTTGAATAAAAATCCTAAAATTTTAAATCGTCATATCAAAGTCATTTTTTATTTTTTTGTCATCAAACTTTTGGAAAATAACCTTACTTATATTATCTGGGGAACCGTGTCTCAAATTTTTTCTATCTTTTCTCAAAAAAATATTACGTAACGTCAAACATTTTATGCGACTTTTTTCACCATACATATTACGTAATTAAAGATAATTAAGTCGCTGATTGAGCAAACAAAAATCCCTGACACGGTTCCCTCCGTAAATGAATTTCCTTTCATGTGCTTTAAACCGCATGTTAATTGCTTGATTATTAAAAAAGTTATGCCGATTCAAAGTTAGTCCGACCCGCATCAAACGAAGTGTCATAAATCGGCTGTTCTCTCTCGGACCCCTACGTTTCACGCTAAATAATTGCATAATACACAAATATCGCACCAGAGAGGGTCACAGGTTGCGGTAACATACTCTAACAACATTTTATGACCCAGTGACATCTGACCAATTAAAAAGCTGCTGATTAATATCAGTTTATAGCCGAAATTTCTTCAATTCTTAACGTGATTTACTGTTCGTCTGGTATCTTTCGCACATGTCACGTGACTATCGGTAAAATTTGAGGCACTCAGTGGGGGGAAATGGAACGCATTTGCGCACCGCTAGCGGGGTATTTAATTGTTTCCTTTTTGAAGTTTATTATTATTATCATCAGCATTATTATTGTATTATACCAGTGTCACTCTGCCTGTGTATTCGTGTATGAAATTCCGTTAAAATATAAAATAAAATAACAAAAAACTGAGCTTCTGACAGTCTTTTAAAGTCCATGGTAGATGTACAAATAAGAACAGGATATTATATATTTTTTCCACCAAATTGATAATGCTTCACATATTTTAATAGAAATAAAAGGTATTACTCGATCATTATGATATGGCCTTCTTGACTTCTATTATGAATATCATCTATGCACGGCATAGAGATCCAGTTTCTACCGGGATAGACAATAAATTTCATACTTTGTCCCAGATTTATTAGTACTGTGTCCGATTTACTGGCGAACAATTTATTTTCACTGAAAATATATTTTAATATCTTTTTTTTTATTCATAGAGAAATAATCATCCTTAGACAATCTAAAATGGTTTAGAAATGTGTCAGGTACACCTTACCTCAAGTCATATAGGCGTTCACATAAAAATGTTGTCTGTTTTTGTTGTTGTTTTACTCGACATTGATAGAAAACGAGGTTGAATGTAAAGTAAGCCCTTGAATCCGTACAAAAGTCTATCAACTCAATGTAATATATCTATCAGATTAATGTACGGGACCTGGGATGTACTATAACGTATCGTATGTTCCAGACGGGACAGACAAATTAACACATTATGGATATTTTAGCAACTACATTTTTATTCAACCCCGTGGTTGTGCGATTTGCCGCTATGCTTAATTATTTATGTTACGTACATTGGCCGACAATTTCTTAATTTATAAAAAAGGCTAAATGTTGAGATATTCATAAAAGATGTACGGTAGTTGTACGATACATGTATTACGAGAAGTATGGACCTGTAATTCACGGATATATGGAACTACCGATTTCCCTCATTGATGCCTCAACAGGGGGCGGAGCGTTATCGATAATCGACAGGTTACGCGAGTAGCAGTTACAAATAGTATAGGTACCGTTTTAAAACGTTTAAAAACACATTTTTTGGACTAACTGCTTCCAAAATTAAATCACGAATGTGTTCAGAAAAGGTTGATAAATCTACTTAGCAAAAAATCTCATTTTAGGTATTTTCAGTGATAATTGACTCCGTTGTCACCTTAAACAAAGATATGTGTGTGCCCGTTTTGACCATTACCGTACTTACCGCCTTAAGTCATCCCAAAATTAATATTTTTTGGGTGACATAACATGAAACAACATCTATTAAAGCCTTAAAGTATGATAAACTGTAATAATAATAATAATAATAAAGACTTTATTTAACGAGAGAACTCATTTGAACAAACATATCAATCTTATATGAGGCCTTCAACAAGGAACAATATAAATTTAACATTTTCAAACTATTAAAATACATAAATGTAAAAACATACAGGAGATTATTATTTATTATTTTAAACATCATAATAGCTTTTTGAAAAACAACCCTCTGTGAAAAGGTCATCCAGCGGTGTTCAGAAAAAAGTTCAGCAGATGAAGTGTCATAATCTTTGTCTAGAATTAGTTTTGCAGCTCTCTTTTGGAACTTAATGAGTTTATCTTCTAGAAAAGACGTACAGTTACCATAAATTATGCAACAATAATCAAGATGTGGTAAAATATATGCATTGTAAAACATTTTACGTACAGGTATAGATATAAATAATTTTATACGTGATAATAAATGTAACAATGAGTTACACTTTTTAAGAACATTATCAATATGGCTTTGCCAAGACAAGGTGTTATTAATTGTAATACCCAATAATTTTTCTTCAGAGCTACAAAAAATTTGCTCTGTTTTATATAAAATACAAAGATTACTTTTATGAATATAATTTTGCTTGTGTTTTGAGGAAATATACATGACCTTAGTTTTGTTAACATTGATAGACATGTGATTCAAATCACACCATTTGTTGGCATTTAAAAGATCATGAGTAAGAGATTCAACTACTCTGTTTAGGGATACATCAGAGGTTGAAAGGGTGGTGTCATCAGCAAAAATATCAGTTTCTGTTTTTTTCCATAGACAAAGGCAGGTCATTGATATATATTAAAAACAGTATAGGACCTAGCACTGAGCCCTGAGGAACTCCAGTAGTTACCGAACTTGACTCTGAATATAAACAGGATATGTAAGTTTGTTGGGTTCTGCAATCTAAATTGGAGGAAAACCAAGCAACTGATGAAAGGTCTAGGTTATACATTCTAAGCTTTTCCATCGTTATTGCTTTCTGCCCTACGCAGAATGCGCATGCGCGAAATGCAACATTCGTTGCTATGGAAAATCGTATTGTAAAAAAGGTCTATAAGGGAAAAGGTTAAGTATATCAATGCATTATTTAAAGAAAATCAGATCTTTACTTTTTAGGTGTAATTTTGATTAGATCATTTATTTACTTTAATGTATCTGCGACATGATTAAGTATATTTATCCGTCTATCTATGTCAGTTTACCATTTTATGTTGCGTTTTGTTTGAGTCAGTGCCAGTGGCGTGGATTGTAGCTTTCGTGTCCAGTACCAGGAAGCAATCAGATAAACAGACTCAATCAAACCGAACTTGCAACATTTTCAGTTTTGATCGCTTAGGAATTCTTTATTTTTCTCTATTCTAGGTATATGACAGTTAAGTTAGCGACGCGGGAACATTGGAGAAGAATTTCGAGAAGTTACGAAAATCGCTAATATTTTCTCTAGTGTAAATATATAAATTAACCTGTCATTAAAATCTACTCTTGCATGATTCTCTAATATTTCCTCACGCAAAATGTCTGGAATTTAAAATTCAATCCAAACCTATTTAGATATAGAATCATAACTAATTAAAGGAAATATTTGTTGTGTTAAACCAATATTTGTCAAGGAGCACATTCAATAAAGAACAAGACAAGGGTTTCGATTAGAACATCACTAATTCCTAATCTAGTAAGCAAGATTAATTTCATATAAAATCTCATTTTGCTTCATGGTTACAATCATTTTGGACCTGAAGATAAAATGACAATGTGTTAAAATAAATATAGATACGTTAACTTGTGTACAATATATATTTCCATGCAGGATATCATCTGTTATATTTTGTTGTGTAGTTTTCGACCTTAAAATGTGAGTCAAATAAATTGTATTGATTTTGTAAAATAATGATGAAAATAAAATAAATTAGCCGTAAGAAATGTTGCTAAGGACCTTAAATAATACATAGTGATTTTGCAAAAGTATATCGAGCTGTTCAAGGTGTCTTAACAAATAATTGCCAAATAATTTAAGTTCAAAATATAAGTCATTTTAGTCACGCACCTGTGATCTTGTTGCTCTTCTTTTTCATTGCTTAATTCTATATTTAACAAAAGATTAATAAAAAATGAAAGGTGTGTTTTTAGATATACGTATTGAAAGAAATTGATATGCATTAAAACGTACACAAAGAGATAATTAACCTGTTGTTATTAAACAGAAAATATCTACGGACTAAAGCACACAAATGTAAGCGTGTTGAAAAATATATAAAGACACTATTTTAAGAATTATTCAATATTTTTACCTTTTTTATTGTAATATCGATATTTTTATTCCAACTACTGTTTCACATGTAATTTTCGTGTTTATTCAAATAAATAAATGGAATAAAAGGTAAACTAATAATAATAATAATAATATTAATAATAATAATAATAATAATAATAATAATAATAATAATAATAATAAATGTTTTATTATTAGCACTTGGAGCGATTGAACATAAACCTGAAAAAAACTATATAAATTTTTTTTAAGTGCAGTTTATAAAATCAAGTATAAATTGAATAAACTTTAAATTATAATTAAATGATACTTAATGTAAAGATAAATAAAAAACTGAAGATGTAAGAAGCGTAAAACATGTATCTGTAGTGAAAAATCATATATGCTGGAGATATTATGTAGATAGTCTTGTGATTTAATGCCGAAGAACAATAGAGTAATCTTATAACATGGTGATATCATTAAAGGATGTTTATTGGAGTCCAAAGATTGTTTGTCCTGCTCGCAGTTTGTGGCTTTGGGATACACAAAGGCTCATGTGCGGACGGAAATGATGCAAAGAATCTTAGAAAACAGCTATTTGTAACTGATGGTTACGACAAAAAGGTCAGACCTTCCAACAACCAATCTGATCCAATAGGTATGAACAATTTTCTATTTCTAATTTCTGTACAATAGTGCACTTGGGTTGTTTGTTTCTTGAATCATAATTTATACATTGTATATACCTTTGCCTGTTTATTAATTGACATTTACAGTAATGGACATTGAAGTAACTCACTTTTCTTTAATGACCTGAGTTCTGAGTTTTAATTTACCAACATATTTAGCAAACCATAAGACATTGAGTACCTTTGTTTTGGTCATTGGGTTTACTTTTATATGTATCTACATGATCACTTCTGTGTTCTACTTATTTCATCTATGGTTACCATTACAACTGTAAAAGAATTTCACTTGGCGGGGATTCATTTTATGTACAATGTCTCGTTTAAAGTTACACGGCGGGGCTAAGAGTGAGGTTTGATGCACCATTAACCGGTTTAAACTCCCTAGCAGTGCTTATGCTGCTGACCGTTCCAAGGAGGCGCCCCTCTGTGTTCCTTAGATGCATGTCTTTGTTGTTTCATACTGTTGTAATGATACTTTTGTTTGTGTCTTTTGCTGTTTTCTCGTTTGCGTTAATTATCTTCCCTTTGGCCCTATTTTTTTTTCTATTTTTCCCCTCCCTTCCCTGAAACTCGAGGTCCCTTCCCTTTTCCCTTTATTTGGCCTGTTGGTCAATCAATTATCTGTTTCCTTTGATTTCCTTTTCGATCACTGTTGTTTCTTTTTTGGTGTATTTTATTAATTTCCTGGCCGTGCTCTGTCATGCGCCCTGTCCTTTTTGTTTGGGGTCCTCCGGGGCTCCTTGTCGCTGGTTCATGTTGCTTGGTCGTTTTGGGGTTGCGTTTATTGAACGCCGCCTTTCCTTGTTGATCTTGTATATCACATTTTACCTAACAGCACGTTTGTTTCTTGGAGATCAGTAATTTCAATACATTAAAATGTGTGTGTGCACGCGCACGTGTGTGTATGTGCAGTGCTTTATTTTGCTTTTATTTATATCTTTGTTAAATCCGGAAATCTATCTTTATATCTTTAAAACCCTTTTGAAGCCAACCTTTGCTTCAATTCAGTGCATTTTCCTAATGTTCTATCATCATACATCTTGAAATTTCAGTAAACATGCCACTAGATGTTTTCAACTCTTTTTTCACTCTTATGTTTTATTCGAAATTTACCCTAGCGTAGGCCTTGGAGCTGTATCATTTTATTTGGTGATAAATAGTCAAAGATAGACGCAGTGAAAAGAATTACAAGTAGTTATGAAATAATTTCCAAGCAGTGTTTAAAAATCTCATCAATACATTTGATGGATTTCATGTCAGAAAACTGTATTTAATCAGTTTGAACCTGATTTCACTGAGCAATTATTATAAGAAGTACAAACAAATAATTATCGAAGATCGAAGAGATGGGACGTTATGCGATACATTGTCAAACAGTTGTCTGAATACTCCTGTTTGAATAGGTTCATTTTATCAATCTAATCATATGCTAATCAAATGCTCGAAACTGATAGTGATTTATTCGCTGTCAAGGGAAATGTTATTAAGATTTAACTGTATCATTTCGTTTAATACTGTCTAGAGGTATACGTGAGTTTGTATTTGCTGTCAATCAATGAATTAAGTGAAACAACAGAGACATTGAAGACAACAGCTTATCTTTGGATCACGTGGTATGATGAGTTTCTACAGTGGGATTCATCAGACTACGGGGGAATCGACTATTACCATTGGCCGCAGGTAAAGTTGTCTCTAGCAAGCCTGTTCAATTATCAGAATATAATAGAACATAATATAACTGGACTAGGGTTCCAAGATAAATTATGCATATACAACAGACGCATGACAAGGTTTAAATACCTAATACAATAGTCTGTAATATTGATCTAGAAATAGATGTAAGCAGTAAACGCACGCGAAAATTGATAATTATGAGACAATTTATTAGAATTTTTGTCGGTACAAGTGACCCGGCAAATACGTATTTTACTATTCCGACGCAGTCCTCTTCATGTTTTTTCCCCGTCAGTACTGCTGTTTATCACACACCCGTGTCGATTTTGCGACTCCGTAAAAATGGTATTGCACGACCGTGCACATATTTTGACGTGACGTCATTTGCGTTATATAAACAAAGCGTAAAGACGCATTAAATGTTAGCGTTATTCTATAGGCGCGTTAATGAAAAATGATTCTTTTTCACTTCAAATGGTCTTTATTTTTCATATGTGATAAACAGAATATTACATTCGTGTAAGTTCATTACTAAATTTATTGAACTCGTTAAATAGATATTATGCTCGCCAGAGGCTCGCACAATAAAATTTTATTTTCAATTGGTCAATAAATTCAGTATTAAACTTACACTCATTCATTATCTTTATATGCTGAAATATTCATGTTTTATATAGATAGAAAGTCAGATTCGCTTACTAACTCGTATATTTTTCCTTTACATATTTTAATAACATGAGTTTTTCGTGACAAAAGTTAATAAGCAATCAACATATATTCAAAACAGTTCAAATACTTTTAATTGTCGCCTTTTTTAATTACAAGGGAGATGTATGGAAACCGGATGTTGCACTGAAGAACTCATTCTTGGAGTATAAGGAACTAGGAGTTTCGTCTCTGAACGTTCTCGTCTCATCTGATGGTTACGTTGAATGGTATCCATTTCAGGCAAGACACTCCTATTTGAGCCGCGTCACGACAAAACCAACATAGTGCGTTTGCGACCAGCATGGATCCAGACCAGCCTCCGCGCAGTCTGATCAGGATCCATGCTGTTCGCTATCAGTTTCTCTACTTGTAATAGGGTTTGTAAGCGAACAGCATAGATCCTGATCAGACTGCGCGGATGTGCAGGCTGGTCTGGATCCATGCTGGTCGCAAACGCACTATGTTGGTTTTGTCGTGACGGAAAATTATGTTTTAAATTCTCGGGGTCCGTACTCTCAGTGCCTGAAAGGGCGGATTGACCCTCATTAAGCCTAGAATATACACTTTTTTTTGATAAAAAAAACAATGATAATTTTCTAATTTTTCAAACCACGGCGATAAGATTATTCGTCTTGCCACAATAATTTTGAGAGGGTATAGAGTACAATCGAATGCATGGATTTTATTTTCATACAATAAAGACATTATTGATTAGGACCATTCAATTATAAAGAAACTTGAAGCATGAATAAATAGACTCTTACAATCCTATCTGTATTATTAAGTTTAGTAAACGTTTTATAAAAGAACCAATTTTGGTTAATTTGTTATTCTGTTCTATTGTCCATTTCCATTCTTGCGATGAGTATTTGGGCATTTAATTAATTTCAAATAAAGCGGTTTTTAGTAATTTATCAACATGATATATAATGATATTTGAAACATAAAAGCAGAAAACGTTATATTGAATCTTTTTGGCATGACCATTAAGGATATCATTTTACAGAAACAAATACATGTATACTAAAAGGTATTAAAGAACGGTGAATTCGTTATTTTATATATACACGAGAGTTTTCATTAGCTGAAATGTTTTTTGTTTTTTTTTTCAAATAAGATGCTTCCTTTTACATGTGCATCGTGTTTTCAATTTTCTTTCCTGCGGTTTCACTTGTAAGTTCGAATTCATGATATTTTTTTCCTTCTTTTTATCAATATTTCTTTTCTCTCCATAAACCTTTTCAGGTTTTCCAATCTACGTGCTCCGTAGACATCACATATTTTCCATTTGATACTCAAGAATGCAAATTAAAGTTTGTGGCTTGGAGTTATTCAACGTATGAGGTAAAACAATATTGTAGACCAACGTTTTTGCCAATCTGACTCTTTCAACTACATGTGTATTTTTAATGAACTTCTGAACTCCTTACAGTAGCTTTGGTTTTAACCTTTAACCTGATTGGACCAAAAGTGATTAACTATTGCGACAAGTATAGAACCGCCTAGCCGGCCTGTACACACCCGTGCAGTCTGACCAGACCTTAAAATATATAATAAATGGTTGCAGAAAATATGTTAAAAATGGAAATTTTTATGCAACATATTCAGCAGGTAAAAAATGTTAATGTTTTCCTGGAAATATTACCGTGACCTTCAAGGAAATGTAAACGATACAAGCACTACCCAGTCCCTGAAAGCTAGGGTTAAGGATTGTCATAAATGCATAATAATGTCACCCTTCCCTTACTAATACAAATGTTGAATCATGTTGTCTTTAGATAGAATATTGAATATGTGGGTAGAATCTGAAATTGGTAAACTAGTCTAAAGAATGGTTTTCAAGTTTGATGATGTTTAAGCGCGCGCCTGTCAGGTTTTTGCATTACTGACTTTCCTAAAGTGATATATAATTTGTATGGTTGTATTCTAGGTTTATATGGACAGTGGAGACAAAGGGATAGAGTTGGAAGAGTATGAATCAAACTCAGAATGGGACGTCATTGACACAAGCTACTCGGTGAACTGGGAATCCGCGGAGTCTTCTGTTGTATTCAGCATCAAAATCAAAAGAAAACCACTTTATGTCCTTCTCTCAGTGATCATGCCAATAATTATGTTGGCAGTTTTGAACATTTTTGTATTTGTCCTACCTTGTGATAGTGGCGAAAAAGCTAGTTATTCTATAACAGTCTTCTTAGCTTTTGCGGTATTTCTGTCTATAATTTCTGCAACCTTTCCGGAAAACTCCGAAGTGGTCGCTTTATTTTCTGTCTATCTTATTATCCAGACGCTTCAGAGCACAGTAATTACACTCATTGCCCTAGCCCTTACCCGATATGCTTCGTTCGATGGTCTAGGAACACCTGTACCTCATCAACTAAAAGCTTTTCTTAATGTCATCACCTGCAAAACCTGCTGCGCGAAATACATTCGTAAAAATCAGGTTACCGATATTGAAATCAATGCTGAAAAGGCTACAAAAAAGTCAAATGAAAAGTTAGACAACAAACACTTTATTCTCAAGAAAAATGAGAATAGTGTGCAGAATAGTGATCATCCATCTAGATTTAATACCTGGAAAGAAGTTGTTAACAAGCTTGACGTTATATTCTTTGTTTTCTTCACTTGTGTTCTCATTATCTCCACTCTTCTCTTCTTTGTCATATCTGCCACAAAATAATTTAAGATTTTTGAATATACTTTCTTCTTGGCCATATCTACAATTTAATGATTCAAGTATTTTAACATATTTTCTACTTTTTCATATCTGCAACAGAATCATTTAAGGTTTTAATACATTTGTTACTGTTTCATAAAGTCAAAATTGTTTAATGTTTTTAAACTCATGACAACATTCTTTGTCCAGAATCAAAAATGATAATCAAGATTCGTATTTAAAGTTACTGACGAACTCCTGAATTGTTGAAAGCGTATGTTGTAATATATCGTAGCCTTTAAATAAAAGAACAAAAGAGCAAATATAAATTGAATATAAAGTTTAAAAATAGATTATCGTTTATCATTTTAGCGATTAACCTGTCCGTGCCCTGTCTTATTTTTGTTTGGGGTCCGCCTGGGCTCTTGCCGCTGGTTCTTGTTGCTGCGTCGTGTGGGGGTTGAGTTCATTGAACGCCGCCTTTCCTTGTTGATCTTGTTTATCATATTTTACATTTGAAAGGTCCTTATTCGGGAACTATATTAGTTTTTTTCCCGATCTTCTACTAATGAACATCAGGTTTCTTTTTTTCTCTCTCAATATGTATATTATTAGTTATAAAGATCGTTGACAGGTTATATGGCCCTATATAAACGGCTATTTGTAAATATAACCCGAGCCGTTAGGCGAGGGTTATATCGCAAAGAGCCGTTTATATACGGCCATATAACCTGTCAACAATCTTTATAACGAATTTATAATACAGCAAGCATCATTTTTATAGAAAAAAAGTAAGATTTCTTCATGAATCGACAGCAGCCATGTATATAAAACTATATAAACGTCACGATTATCCAATGAAAAATGACGTTACAAACGTGCAGTATTATAAAGCAAAAAAGAAAACAATTGGCTTGACGTCACAATATGATCGACGTCGCAGTAAAATAAAACAAAAGCGTGTTTCTTTTGACCCACTTGAATACTTATAACTTGAGTTTAAATAGACGTATCAACATGAAAAAAAGTGCAAATTTAAGTTCAGCCAAATATCTAAAAACTGATAAAACAATGAATTTAATCAGATTCGTGCTGCTAAAAAAACCATAAAATAAAACGATAAAAACATGAAAAAAATCAATCTTGACACCATGTCTTTTACAATTTGCCGAAAGTTAGAAACCATGTCCAATAGCATTTATGGGGTACCTTCCACTTGTGTACCTGCTCATGACGACATGAAGCGGACCGTCTTCTATACGATATTCTGATGTGTTTATTTGCCGGCAAATAAACACATCAGAATATCCGATTCCCGTATAGATATTGAATTACTTAATATGGTGTAATGAAGTATTTTACGATAACATATGCGCAATATTAAAATTTAAAATATACAATACATGTATATATTCCATAGATATACGTTAACATGCTTTTTCGTTTAAAGGAACACCTTTTCTGCGTCTGAAATACAAAAAAACAACAAAAACAACTGACTCTATTTCCAAAATAATTGTCAAAACGGTATGACATTTTATGTATGTAATTGAAACTGATATTTTGCTGGTGAAATAAATTCTATATAATGTACATGTTTGTATTTTATTTTGGTATTGTGAATACTTTTAAGCCGATGAAGCCGATGTACACTTGTGTTATCAAAGCAGAATACTATTAAGATGAGAATTTATAGCAAGCAAACTGAATTCATTCAGTTTAAAACTTCTTCCTACTGTTCATTTTCAAATATCATATTTGTATAATTTCAAAGACAGGAAGCGAGAAACAAGCATAATTAAATGAAAAAATTGACGAAATAGGACAGGCAATAAAATCGTTCGGCCATTGTAAACATTAAATTTCGTTCGACCATTGTACTCATTTTTTTTAAAAAGATGCACAACTTCGTTATGAAACTTTACAAAGGATGGAAATTGTTCATGACGGACAAACTTGCAATTGTGTAAAAGATGTCAATGCTAATTTTGCTCAAAATGCTTTTCTTTTACTGAAAACAACGCATTTTAGTACATGTTCGCCCATTGTACTCATCACCTAAACAACTTTTTCGACTTTCAGGCCTTAACAGATAGAGCTACAAAGTAACCAACGTGGTTTTTATACAGGGGTTCCGTGCGGCCTAGTTATACATATAAATATAACCGTTAACTGTATGCTTACCTCAATTTCACTGCTTTTACCGAGCGTTTAAGCCGCCATTTTATGAGCCCATTGTACGATTTTGGTCACGTGATCATCCGCAGTGATAAGCGGGATAAGAATTTTTGCAAGGGAAGGGAAACAACACGCACTATTAACACTTGCAGAGTTTTTGCCCCGACAACACATTCCTGATTATTGTGCACAATGATTATGTTATTTACATATTATTACCAAATACATGTTTTATTCTAATATGATTGACTTTCGTCATGTAATAAATTTCTCGGTAAACATATATTAGGAAATCACGTGTCTTACTTTAACACTATTTGATGTCAAACGACTATAATTTTGTAGTTATAATTTTAATTACGAATAAAAGTTAGGTTATGTTATGTTATGTTAGATAAAAAACACGCTAATCAGCGGGAAGCAGATTAAATTGTAAAATGGCGGGCTGCGAAGCGAAATACAACATGTATTTATTGATACGTGACGCTAATGAGAATCGCGTTCATACCATAGGTTTGTCTTGAATAAACTGATATTTAGAATAAACCAGAGAAGGGAACAATTATATTAAAACGTTGCATATGTGTTTAACATATTATCATTTTCCGGGTATGTATGAGATGGGTCACCGTGTAGAGAAGTATATGAAAGTTAATGAAGTATTGTAAGTTAAGTACGAGTATTCCACAGACGGCATCAATACATGAATCGTAAAGTTTGTTAATTGAAGTGACCTAATATACTCGGACTGCATGAAAGTTTCACAAGCTTTACGTTTCATATTAGTCTAATGAGGTATTTGCTAGTAAAAACTTTGCGCAAGAACAATGGACAGGAATTTGTGATAAACAAATAAGGTATGTGAATGTGAGACTGACAAAATGCACACATAAAATAAAGAAAATATGAGAACAAGAGGGGACAAAGGGACATTGTTGAAGATTTTATAGAATCAAGTTATTTTTTTGTTTTGAAACGGTAGCCCATTGTATTTACCCGTCACTTGAATTTGAAAAAAGGTATTTTCAGCATTTGATAACTTTTTTCCCCAATAAATTCACAAAAGTTCAACTGTAACTGTCTATTTCTAGTCGAGTGAAACGAAGTCTGACAAAGTTTAAACAATCAGCACATGTATAATGAGTTTTTAACTTTTAGTCTCTTTATAACACACATAACAAAGCTTTTTATCACATATCTAAAAATTTAATAACTGCAGCCAATAGCAGTGCCCCTATGCCCAGTCCAGTAAGTATCGTCTTTACTACTGCAAATGACGACCTATAATACCATCTACCGCCCGGCTCACCTCTAACTTTAATGTCGTAACCGTCACATTTTGACGTTAGACGAAAATAAGGAAACACTTGTTGTCTGCACGACCGGAATTTTACGACATTTATCAAGTCTTTCCAAATGGCGAAATACCCAAAGTCTTCTGTTATCCCACGTGATCCAGCGTCCGTTGTATTTTGTGACCGTGATAGAGTCGATATCATATACTGAAAGTCTGTTAAAAAACGAAATTGAAGTTATTGTTTTTTCTATGTTTAAGTTAACTGCCAATTTGTTTGTGTGCAATAATTTTCCTTCATACTGTTAAATTTTTCCCTCGCTATATAGCTGTATATTGCTATACGTAGACGAGTTGCTAACTGCGTATCAAATGACATGAAGCTATCTAGAAGGCAACGGTGTCACACAAAAACGTTTTTGTTATAACGACCTAAACTCAATTATATACTCATTTTACTACATAGATTTACTAATAAGATGAGTTGTGTCTCACGAAGTTTTTGTTTGTGTGTGAAACTTGGGCCAGTAATTCAGATGTCCGCCTGTGTCTGATATTATCAAAGTTGCTTAGTGATCTTTACAACGACTTTTTGACTATTATAAATTATTTAACAAATATACACTGGTATAAATGTTATGATTGTATCAAGCTATATATCTGCCGCCTGCAGTTTACAAAAATTTGGTTCTAATTTTGAAAAGAATAATTCCAAAATACATCTATGAAAGAAGTATGTTGATATGGTTTCCTTATGATCGAATGATGTACAAACTCATTGCTTAAAGGTTAGACTCCTACTTAAAATATCAACATTATTTTAAGTTCAGGAACATTTTATTTGCTCTGTTTAGGTACATTACTGTTTTAAATAACTCTTTCGAAAATCGATCATGAAGTTATGAATACAACATAATTTTACCGTTTTGACATTTTGTAAACATAATTAAACATACCATAAAACATTTTAATCGTTAAGATTACCTACCTCCCTTCGCATAAATCATCCAAAGTCTCGCCTATTTGTACAAAGGGAGAAGAAAAATGATTGCTTATACTACTCTGAGAATAGTATATATCCGACGGTCGCAACATTAGAGACATCTTTACTATACTAGACGCGGTAGGATACAATTAAGATTTATAAACGCTATAAATTAAAGTTTCCTTTCCGATAACGCAGATAAGAGCAATTTTCTGAAAATTCAAATTGCAAACGAAGGTAGTTGTAGTGATGAACATAATATAATTCATTTTTTCAGAAAATGGTGAGCATGTTACATGTAGTATACATGTAATTGGACATTTGTTTTGTATATGTGTTTATGTGTTTCATTTATTACGTTTCAGTGGATATCTTGACATTTTCCAAATAAACAATATTAAGTTTGTAATTAGTGTAATAAAAAATAAAAAAGATGTCCCCATATTTTTCACATCAAATATCTAACTATGTCTCGAACACCACTCCCTATCTTTACCAATAATAAAATGTATGAGTCATCGCAAAATGAGTTTCATCCTACCCCAAGCCAGTAGTTAGGGAAGTCAATCAAGGATTTAACATTTTTTTTATTCTAAAACTTTGCTCATGAATTTGATTTCATTTTTATTAAAGAGACTCCACTGAAGTCTAAAAGTCTAAAACATAAAATTTGAAATACATAGATAAACCGGGACACTCAACACTGGACAGATAATGAAGAAAAACACTCCTAATTAGTTTGAAAATCAATATAAATTTAGTACGTTAGTTCGTAAATTTACGTTTCTTAGCTTCCCAATTGAAACCCCATCTCAGATAGACCGTTACATTCAAAGGACAATTTTTTCTCATTGCCGACAGTCTTTGGGTTGCATATGATTGTAAACAATACTGAGCATATTTCACCATAACATTTACAAGACTGATTATCTTTACTCTTAACAAATAATTACTGATAGGTATTTTAATGTCGCTATAAAAATATAGATGGGATTGAAGTTATCATCGTAATGAAAATGAATGTAGGTTATATTTTGAGTCAGTTAGAAAATTTAGCTCGCTAGTGATCCCCTTAATCAATAAAAAATTGCTTAAAATGTTCTAACTATTACCTAATAGTTTGGCTTGGTACGTCCTGATAGAGTTTGTAAGATAGAAAGAAAGAAAGGTAGGTAGGAAAATAGATAAAAAAATACCTTTTTTTGGTAAATGATGATAGTTATGTACACTCTTTAAAGTTAGTTTGAGATTCTCATGATAATAATTGAGCCGCATCATGACAAAACCAACGTAATGCGTTTGCGACCAGCATGGATCCAGACCAGCCGGTGCATCCGCGCAGTCTGATCAGGATCCATGCTGTTCGCTATCAGTTTCTCTATTTGTACTAGGGTTTGTAAGCGAACAGCATGGATCCTGATCAGACTGCGCGATGCGCAGGCTGGTTCTGGATCCATGCTGGTCGCAAACGCACAATGTTTTGGTTTTGTCATGACGCGGCTCATATAGATATAAGCCTATTACACGTGATGACATATTCAATACACTTCTTTCTGCGTTTGTTAGAGTTTGCCGAACAAGAATACATCTTGCACTTCGATATTTATTAGGATGTTAAGTATTATGCAATATATAAATTATATATAGGCGAAGGCTGGTTTGGATCCATGCTGGTTGCAAACGCATTACGTTGGTTTTGTCATGACGCGGCTCATATTATCTTAATTGTAAATTCATGTCATGTACCGGTAATAGTGTTATTGATAACGCAATAATATCGTATGGGTTATTTCCCATTATTAAATATTTTGTTGTACACGATATGTTTATGATCCGATAGCGTAATAGCTTAACTTATTAAATTGTTATTTTTGAAACATTAAAATATTATCGGACCCGTCATTTTCAAGAAATTAAAAAACCGAAAAAAAAACCAGGAATATTACGGTGTTCCGTTAGTATCGCGAATCGTGAAAACAGACGAAGACGAAAAACGCGAAAGTACGATAACGAAAACACGAGTAGTCGATACTTACTGCGTTTTCGTCATTGTGTCTTCGCGTTTCCGTCTTCGTCCCTTCCTGTTTTCGCGGTTTTGTTTTTTGCGTGTTTTCGCCTTCCGGTACATGTCAGTAT